TTTGGGCACGCAGGGCACACTTTCGAGATCCTTCCACTCAGCTTTCGCATTCATCCGAGAAGTCCTGGACATATACCAGGCAGTCCACCAACAAGATCCGAGCCCCTCATCAAGAACCTGGCTGCGAAAAATATTGGCTCGGGAAGGGGAAGCACTCAGCATCGGCTTTCCGCAAAGTCAGAGCTTGATCCTTCAGAACTCTCAGCATCCGGCTGTGCCCACGCCAGTGCACGCGCCTGGAAAGCCCCCCTTCACCCTTTGTTTCCCTTCGGGTCATCTGGGCTGCCAAGACACCGCTCCAAGCCGCGTGGTCAAAAAGAGATGAACACGCAACCTCAAAAGTTTTCCAACAAGCAGCATGGCGCGGAAAGTCTGACTTGGAAACAGCCACACGAATCGACGCAAATCTAGTATCCTGCATTTATCTTTCAAATGTGCAGTGCCGGATGCCTAAGGTCGACCTCGCGGTTGCTTAGCAACGCTACTGATCTACAAAGCGGGCATTCTGTGCGCTCCTCTAGAGCAGAACCTGCCTGTTGAGAGCAGCCCCCAGGCAAGTTTCATATTCATGCAAACTCTTAAACGGATGAAAAGCCACTGTGTCCGGGTCAAGGCAGTTTCTCCAGCCTGGCTTGGGGTGGCAGTGGTCCTCAATCAGGAGCTTCGGCACAAAAACCCGAGTCACATCAGCAAATCGTGACAAGCACTGATCCATCCAAATATCCTCACCCCACCACTTTGTGCAATGTCCATTGCATTTTTCCTTGTAGTCGAAAGCCCAGAACTTCTCGCAATGCTCCAAGCACTCGTCACCGCCATCCAACTCCCTGGCGCATCGAAGGGCATGGCGCCCAAGGCTTCGAAGCGCACCCTGCGAGAAGACTTCCAGAGGGCCATGAAGTCCATCCTGGCAGTTGTTCAAGTACTTTCCATTCTCTCCCATGCTCAGGCTCTGCAAGGACAAGATCGGCACCAAGCGCTGAGGAATGAAGACCGTATCAGGATCTGCCTTGATGGTCCAATCACACTCTAGGTAGTCACCGTCCAGCAGGACCTGTCGCCACACTGCCATGAAGGCGCCCAAGTTCAGTACCGTGATGTAGGGGCCTCCCAACTCAGACAACAAGGTGCTGGAGACCTGACGCGAAACAAGACCGGGCGCCAGCTCAAGGCGAGCAGAGCTGTAGATGACGTTCTGGTCGCATGCGAAAATGTTGGCACCGAAACGGTACTGCATCACAAGTAGCTCCTGTTCGTACGAGTACGGCAGAAAGACTGCAAAGCAAAAAGTTCTTGTTGTTGAGGTGTGCAGGGATTCTGCGTTTGGAGGCGTCTCAGGCATGTCGAAATAGTCCATCTCTTCCGTTGGCCACCACATCCTGTCTTTCACCTTTTGGCGAAAGCAAGGCAGGCCTCCGACTACGTCGGGGTTCTTGGATGGCTGCACTTCTTCGAAAGGCTTGCTGAATGCCCTCCTGAAGCATCGATCGGTCACTCCGGTACGGTTCCGCCGGGAACCCCAGGCAAATGCCACGCACTCAGTTGTTTCGGTGCATATCTTCTGACAGATGCTGGCCGACGCCACATTCTCAACAACTGGGAGGTCATGACTTGTGACCATGTCCATACCCACAGACTGCTTCGGACAATCATGTGAGATCTGCCATTTCAAGAGCTCCTCCATAGCCGCACTTTCCCTGACAAAGTCCGGGTGGTGGGAGTACTGGTAGTAGCGCTTGGACCCGAGTGAAGAGTTCGGATGTTGAACATGGAAAACCTTGGCCCACTTCTTCTTGGGTAGAACCTCGTCCTCAGAGCTAGGTGCCCACGCCTCGAGCACCTTTGAAAGATCTGCAACATGGGCAGTGCTTGGTGTCTGCAAGCCCCGGAAGTGGACCACAGCTGCTAACAAGCTGACCAAGCTGATGCAAGAAAACCACTTGCAGGTGGCGGAATGTCTCTCAAGGTTGTCCTGAACGGGCAGCAGCCCTTCCTCATCTTGCTCGTGCGGCATGGTGCCCCTGACTAAATGGGACTCGAATTATATGGCTGCCTTGAGTCCGAACATTCACGGTGGCAAGGGATGTCAAAACTCCACTCGGCTCAGAACACACGTGCATGGTGGCTTTGTGCATGAAGGTGCTACTTCCAAGTGTCGAAGACTGGCATTCGCACAGGGCCGGATGCAAGCTTCTTGGCTCCGGGCGCCAAGCTATACAAGCTGACGGACTCCTCGCGAAGTGTTTCCACTAAACTCAAGGCATTGTGCTTGTGCTGGTACTTTTCTCGTGCACGCACGCGAAAAAGAGCAGCACTAATGGATGGCATCTCTTGGGCATGGACGCTGAGAGTCCAGGCGAGGAGTCGCCTGCGAGCTCCGGGAGCTCCGTGGGCACAGAGCACCGCAAGCGCATCAGCTCCTGCGACGAGCGCTCACCACAGACTACTCTGTGATTTACAAGATTCGCTGCACGAGTCGAGCGCACAATCGGCATCCTGGCCTTCGTTGGAAGACTCTTTGGCTTCCTTGTGTTCCGGGGCGCTGCTTTTGCCAGCTTGACCACGACCTCTTGTCCTACAATCTCCACTCTTCCCGCCTTCTTGCCGAAGTGTTGAAGCTGGAAAACGTACAGTGGACCCCAGAAAGTTGGAACATGCGTTTAGGATGAGTAGTGCTGGGATCCCCTATATTTTGCCTTAGGGGCATGAGGATAACGATGTTCCAACTTTCGGGCTTCTACTGACTAGTATGCAAACATACTGAAACCCATCGCAACATTGAGTGTCCGTCTTCCCTGATTTCGTCCAATTCAGATGGGGGTATTTCAAGACATACGGCGTCGTGTCCTGCATAGACTACAGTAGATGTTTTCTGCAGCGCGTCCTTTACAGATTTCTACCTATCTCTCCTTACTCGCAACCGCACCTCACTTCCACATCAGCTGCGAGCTTCGAAGCATGTCCGTAAACGAAACAAGTGCAGCGATCTTCGCAGAAGCCGCAACAGGCACGGGAAACCGTACAGGCAGTGTAAAGTAATGTGCTGATTGGGGCTGCTGCATGGAGCGCTGTGTTCGATATTGGTGTAAAACAAAACTTTCGGCTCATGAAGCTGCTGAGCGTCGGAAGCCTGGGCCGCATCCAGTACTGCAGGTAAAAGGCGCCCTTGCGCGGAAAATTCTGCAGAAGGCGGGCTTTCTCGCACACACACAGTGCAGTGCTCGCCTTGTCCGCGAACCTGAGCTTGCGACGGAACTACGAAGCTTAATGAGCACAACAGCGGGCCCGTTGTACCTGAAATTTATTCCTGCACTGTTGGAAGTTGGAAGTCTGGCACTGCTTGCAGCGGGGGTGCTCCGTGGTCGGAAATTTTCTTGCTGGCCAAGAGTGGAAGTGCAACCTGGAGCAGAAAAGACTACAGACTTCGACGTGCACAGTTCCTTCGGGCTCCGGACCTTTGCAAACAGCCTGAGCCGACTGAAAGGGAAGGGGACAACTTGTTTGCAACTTCTCAGAAAGACGGGCGCAGCCTGTCGTAAGCGTGACACTGCCTAGGTGACACCGCCAGAGTTTCTCGCTAAATGCACGTCTCGGTGTTTCTTCCGGAAGGAGTGCACATTGCCCTTCGCAGAAAGATGGCCAGGAGTTGCGACTATGAGACTACGGAAAGGAGGCGAGGTAAGGAAAGGAAGCGAAGTATGTAGTAGCGCTCTGCTCATGCTAGAAAGCTGTTTGTAAATTCCAAGCTCTCAAGATCCAACATACATATTGCTGCCCATCTGCCGTGGTTGATGGCCTTCGACACAGTGTCAAGAGTGAGCGAAACGGTACTGGCAAATGTTCGGGGACGAGGGCTGCACGACACTTTTGGCCTTCACCTACAGTAAGTGCAAACAACGGCCGTGTCGAACTCTCAAGTGATGAATCACGACTGCGGGGGGGCTTTCTGGCAATCAGATTTCAGGTCATCAAATCGAAAGACATGTCCATGGATGTATGCACAGCATGCGTCTTCAGATTTCTTGGTCGAAATGCCATCCGACGATATGCAACTACCCGAACCGCAACGCATCCGATGATGGCAAGCGGCAAGCACATCACCACTTACCCACTTTGTCGTTTCTACACGCATCAGGCCGCAACCAAATGACACTGCAGAGATTCTGCAGCTCTGCACCAGGCTGTGCTCAAAGCTGGGAGACACAACAGAATGAATGGCAGGTTAGATAATAGAGTGCAGGGATTTTGCCTTTGCACGGAGAAACGAAACTTAAAGCAAACACCGCAGCGGCATAGACGTGGATTCTTGGTGGAGAAGCTCCATCCACTGATAAGAACCATACATTCGCTGTGCTTTGCATGCTGCAGGCTAGGACTCCGCACCCAGTTTCGGGCCACTTTACTTCCTGTCGGGATTGGCCAAGCTCTGCAATTCCATCGAACACAAAGATCACAAGAATCAAGAGCTGTCCTGAAACTGTTGAAGTGAGCCTAGATGCACTCAGTGCCGTGCGATTGAACATGTGACCAGATTCTGCAACTTGGGGGAGAGCTGCCAGCAGTCCACTTCTCCAAGCTAATTGCCACGACCTCGTCAGGCTCGACACTCGCAAGGTGTTGTGCGTCGTGTGTTGACTTGAGAACTCCGGGTTCGCCAACATTGACACTGACGATTGAAGCTGCTGGGATTTCGTACTGTTCTGCATCATGCTCTTTAGGATTGGCCTTCCATGTTTTGCATGTCCTTCTAGCACTTGCTGTTTGTTTCTGCTCGAGGAAGTATTGAGATACGGTGGCCGAAAGATTTGCTAGGAGAACTCTCAATGCTTGAGAAAGTGATGTCATGTCGGTGTTTAATATTGACCTATCACAGACCTATCACACTTCTTCTGCAGGGCATGGGAGGCGTTTCAAGCCCTCCGGCCGCATGGGCCCCCCATCACTCTCTCTCTGTCTCTCTCTTTTCTGCTGGGGTTAGGGGTTGGCCTGTGAACCTCAGACCACCCATTTTGTTTACGAGTGGGTGGCATTGGGGGTCCTCATGAATCGGCCAAAACAGCTCGGCGGGCTCCGCGCTGGTAGCAGCGCGCCCCAGACGCCGAATGCTAAACAACATACAACCCTGGGCTCATCTCCGCACCCCTAGGCAACCGCCGTCAAGAACTCGCAAACATGTAACTAGCACGGCAGAACCTCCATAAATCGGAATACAACTGAAGAAACAAAGGCAAGGAGAAGAAAAGATGCCGATTAAATTGCTCCCCCGCAGCAACAGTATGATACTCCGCTGAGTAGCAGCGGCTGCAGATGGCAGATGGGCGGATAAGACGTCGTCGCATTACGATGGCAGCGCACCGAATTTCGTGGGTATCACGATATTGATATGAAGCAACAGGGTTGCGAAAAGTGAAGCACGATGCACAATCTCCCGGGAGGATTGTAGTGCAGTAGGAGAGCAGTGCTCACAAACCGAAACAGCTCAATTCACACGATTACTCGGTACAACACAACTCTCCCCCTGCAACGTTCTGCCGGGGGGTCGGGTCCTCACGACCAGGTGAATACATTGGCTTGTAGAGGTGGTTCACTTGAAGCTGCTGCTGCAACTGTTTCTGCTACCTTGCGCTCGTCATGGTTGTCTTTTAGAGGAGATCGACTTGAGGATGCCGGTGTCCCTGTGGGCGCCCTGTCCACCTCCATCTCGTCAAAGTTGCCGTCCCTCCGGGCCCCCTCCCCTCCATCACTGGGTCGCCCTTTACATCCACACCCTTTCCGGCAGCTTGTTTTGTTGCATCACGGTGACAACACCTCTCTTCCTTCTTGTCGGTCTTGTCTTGTCTTTTGTGGCCTTCTTCTCCTTGGAAGTCCCCCGCTTTGCTTCCTTCGTTTCTTTCTTGTCTGGCTTGTCGTCCTCCTCTTCAATGGTCCGGGCTTTTGTGGCTTAGTGGCTTTTGCTGAGCTTGCTCCTCCATCTACTACGCTGCGCGACAAAGCTTCGCGGCGGATGGCCTCGTGTCAGCAGGTCTTGGATTTTTGCAGGAAACGTCACCACAGATATACACAAAGTTTAGTCAAGTTGGTCAACAGCTTCCAGGGCTTTCCCCGTCTCCACATCCTTCACGGATTTGGGGTCCTGCGTGACGGACCTGTTGATCCAGTACGTAGTCCGGCGGATCTGGTTCATAAAGTGAACCGAACCCCCGCTCTGTCTCAAAGCGGGTGCTTATCATGCTCTCCCGCAACATATAGGTGTTGGTAGCGGCTGTTACAGTCCCTGCTGCATATTATCGTGATTTCTAGCAAACTCCCCCGGCATGCCGTTTGTGGTAAAAAGGGCCTTCCAAGCATGCTCTGCAGGTGACCCCCAGCTCTCTCAGCCTGGTCGCCAACCTGCTTCGCTCATCCCATGTCACCGGGATCCTTCCTGGACAGCTTGCAACCTTTGGCTTTGCCGTTGTTCCCCCCTTGCGAGGAGTCGTGTCTCTCGCTCTCGCTCTCTCTCTCTTTCTCGCTTTCCTCCCTTCCTCCCGCTGGGGATAAGTCCACGCAAAAGGTGGCTTGGACGGGTTTGCGTCCATTGGTCGGCACGGCAGGTAGAGTGTGTCCGTCCCAATCCTCTCCGCGCCCTCTGGGGCACTATCCTTAAACCGTCGACAGACACATTGCCCCAAAAAGGACCTATGGCTTGCAGTCGTCCCCTTCTCAAGGGGCGGACGGACAACAGCGGTAGCGGTTGCGTACACTTTACACTTTAGAAGGTGTTCTTCGAGGAATTTGCTATAGAAAAAGACGAGGTACAGGTAGGTCTCCAAGTTCCCGCCGTGGACTATGAGCAAGAAGTATTCTCCTTCCCCCTACTGGCGGGCCACCCTCCGGAGAGGGGCCGTGGTCAGGTTCAGGAGGAGGCAAAGGCACAGCGGGGCCTCTTCAGCAAAGTGGCGACGGGTGTGGAGCCCAAACACCACTGGGCAAAACGAGAAGGCTCGATGTGAACGGCCATAACCACAGGTGTAGCACTTGAGCCAAGATGGCTATTCTCTCTCTCTGTCTCTCTGTGTCGTCTTTTCGTTCTTCAGGGGCAGTCAACCAGCTCTATGTCTCGATCTTTCTGTGTCCAATACAGTGGGCAAGTCCACGGGAAACCCACAGCCCCTATCTTCGCTGTTCGTTGCTCCAGACTTCAAGTTTCGGAGTTCCTGCTTTAGGCCCACTTCTCCTTGGCAGTTAGCCGAATGGATCGTCAGGCTTCAGATTTGAGTCTTTAGCTCTTCCTTTTGGGAGGTGGCTTGGAGTGTCATGTCAGGAGAAGGAGGGGTGTCGGGCTTGGCGCTGATGTCCGATCCCAACACCTCCAACCACAAGCCACTGGTAGTTAAGGGCTTTGGTCAGTCACTGTGTCGAGCAAAAGCGCCGCCGGGGCTGGAAGGTCGTCAGGCTAGAATAAACTTTTGGCTGTACTTGATTGAGTATAAGGGGCGGCGAGTGGCTAAGAGCAACTTGAGCAGTCCAAGTGGCCGAGCAGCTTAAATAACGCCATTAGCTACCCAGCGGGTGAAACTTGCGAACGACGAGGATTATGCACGTGAGATGTCGAAACTGATTGGGATGCGAATGTTTCATAAACACAGCAAGCCTTCTCCAGAAGCGGGTTGGGCATGCTCGTGCTGAAGGCACCAAGTTCTGAACCTTATCACAGTTGAAGCTTGTAGTTTGCAGATGCCGCTTCGGTAAAATATTCAGAAGCAAAGGTTGCAGCGGACAGCACAAAGTACGACTTCTAGTGGAAAGGCCTCCAGCTTGGCACTTGGCTTGTGCTACAAGAGTTGGTTTACAAGATCGGCACGTCCACAGCTGTTGCTAGCACATGTGCCACAACGGGAACTCGCCTGCAGGTTCCCTTTTCCTTCGTGAACTTGAAGAGATGGCGCCTGAAGGCCATAGCGTTCGGACAGAGGAGCACAACATTTTTGCATGCAAGCACTATTGTCGCATAAGGCACCTCTTTCGCCAGACCTCAGATAAAATGCTCAAAACTGAATCAAATACAAGAGCTTTCCGCAGCCTCAGTTCTGGACGCATGAAGTTAGAGCAATGGAACCTGTCAGTGCTGCTACTGAACACAAGCTGGGACTGTCGACGAACGAGGTAGCTTGATGTAGCGCAAGCATGAGACGCTGGCCGCGCGGCAAGCAGAGCCTCCATGACGAAGCGGCAAGCAAATCGAAGGCTTTCAGGAGTTTGGGTTTGGAACGTCGCCTCCTCACTGTCTCGGCCAGCTGCCTGCCGGACTGAAGCTAAAGATGATGCAGGTTAAGCATTCTTCTCACGTGCTTTTCAATGGACCGCCTGTGCACAACCAGCAGCAGCATGTGCCAGCACATGGGCTGTGAAAGCCTCTGGTCGCGTCCGCGGCAAGTTTCGAGTATTTCTGCAATCCCGTACAGGTGTAGACTCTGGTCACCCAAACGCCACTTTCCCGAAAGCTTGGGCTTGCTAGGCTTCTCACCCTGTCGGTCCGGGTATCCAAGCACAACGCCTGCAGCGTCATCAACTTCATCCAGGGTCCCATGAAATCTGGTGGATAGCACGCTGCCTTCAAAAGTCTCCACGCTGTGTTCAGGATTCCACTGGCCTGGATGTTGCACATGGGGCTTCCCGGTGCACACTGGCCGCGGTCCCCGAACTTTCATGCCGACCTCACCTTTAGCTTAGTAAAGCTATGCTCCAGACTGATGCAGCTTGTGCAACTGTCGCCAACTCCAGACCTTTGGCTCTTCCGGCCAGTGTCCGAACAGCTTGAGCAGCCAAGGTAGTCACAGGCATCTCCAAGTTCGTCGGTTGCATGAGGCTGGGCAGCTGCAAACCATTCCTTTCCAAGCTGAATGTGACTGTCTGTCATGAGGCCATGTCTCTTCGACATAGCACGTATAACAGAGATTAATTGATCGGCTAATTCTGCTGCGTGCCTGGAGAGCATTGGCACTGGAGGGCGTGTATGCCTCGCAGGAAGCAGTGGCACGGATCCAGATCTCAGGGCTGGTCATGTACACACCCTGCATGACCATGACAATGTGACAAGGCACCGCCGGACTGCGTCCCAGCAGCCGCAAGTAGGCAATGCACCCGTTGACCTGCTGTGAAACACAAGCTTTCAGTTGCTATGCAATCTGGCCTCTGTGAGTAGCAATGTTGTCATCGCAGCTTGGGCGTCAGTTTCGCATGAGGTACAACAGCCAATGCGCTACGATGAAAGATCCTGAAGTACAGAATGCCGCAAAAGCGCTCTTGTGGCAACATAGTCGTCGTCATGGCAGTCCTCGCCATGTTTTCATATTCTGCAAGCTGTCCTGCCACTGCTGCAGCTGCTGCTGACAGCGATGAGCATCTGACGGCACCACGCAGACCGTCACCGACGACAGTCAACATCGAGCAAATCGCCGCGACATGTGACTCCTGAAGGCAAGAGTTCTCTTGCACCAATCAGCCAAGTAAGTCTTGCTACAAACTGATTGTTCAATAACCAGAGCCAAAACTAAACGCAAGACACAAGCCAGCCTCTGCCACAGATGAAACTGAACGAGCAGCAACCTCAGTACCCGTCTCCAAGGCGAGCTTGATGAAGATCTCGAGCTACAACCCCAATCTTGGAACCAGAGCATACAGCGACTAGCTGGATGACCCCGGGCCTAGACCTTGGGGCTTGGGGTTTCGGGTTTAGGGGTCAGCTGGTGCTTCCTGCTCTGCTTTACCACACCGCTACACCTGCCGCTTCGCAGTTCAATCGAGAACAAGCAACATAACAACAAAGCCGTTCAAAGAGCTTTTAGTAACTTGGGAGGTGTACGATTCATGTGCATGCATCTGTGTCTGCATGTGTGTGCTGCAGCCGCGTGAACGACCTTTGCACAAATCGGCCTTCACACAGCTCATGGTGCCGGCCCCGGCTTTGCAATGCAATATCTGCTCCCGGGCCCTAAACCCCCATGCAAATCCGTGTAAGGGCTACAGGAGATACGTAGCGACGTAGATGTTCACGATGCTCATGATGCCATGCCTGACGCTCGAGGCATAGCAATTCCACACGACACCCCCACAAGAAAAAACTGCTTTGGATACCTTTGCTTCACGGCTTCCCTCACATTGAAGCTCGCTTCCCGCCAGAAATTTTGAAAGTCACAGATGGCCGTAGCTTGGAAACGACAGTAGCAGCAGAAGTGTTCTACATCGCCGTATGTCTCTCGCGAACCTGGTTTAAGTAAGTGCACGGCACAAACAGCAGTCGCCAACTTCTTCCGGATGCGAGTTTCAACCTGAGGAACGCAGTAGTGTCCTTGAACCTTCTGTATACGCAGATGATTCGCAAGGCAATTCAGTCCGGCTAGTTTTGCACGAGCCAAAAATCACCAGGTTGGAATGATTTAGGCGGGAGCCTCCACGCGAAGCAACAATGTCAGGTAAAGCCAAATTGATGCTCCATACCTGCGACAGGTCCGCAACCACACATGAAATTACGCAACAAGCTCTCGCCTCGTAAGCGAGGTTCCAGTCGTCCGAAGGGCATCCAAGAACTCGTCCCAGTCTCAGCGTTAAACTGTCTACTATGATGTTCGTTTTTGAAATATGCTGCACATCTAACTGAGCACGGATTCAGGATGTAACCTGCCGATGGAAGGCACTGAACCGACAGCAACGGCCCGGGACGTTCCAAGAGTTCCGTCAATTTCAACAAGTCCTTCAGTGTCACAGGTTTTCGTGCAGGCAACCTGTCACCGACATCCCACATGTTGCCCAATGCAACTGAAAGGAAATGCTAAACATGCAGCAGACCTCTACAAGCGCCGTACGAACATCAAGCCTGAATATCAAACGTGTCGACAACGATCCAGCCACCAAGCACAAGAAGTGTAAGGTCAAGACAGTGGCTTATCTGCACCATACATGTTTGACTGCCAGCAACAGCAAGCATTTGAACCGATTGGGCTGAATGCTGAATCATGCATGTTCATCTGCACGGGTAGTGTAATGCAAAGTCAACGGACTGTTCATGTACCTGCGATCATGATCACTCAGCAGAAAGTGTGATTAAGAATGCTTCACAAGCTGTGTGCCAAAACGCCGATCATGAAAGCAAGCTGACAAGAACAACACTTTAAACCCACAATATTACACATGGATGCGTCTTGATTGCCAGTTGTTTTCGATTGGCGAGCTAGGCATTCTGCAATGGTACTCCGGAGGCCGAATGGCCCAGCAAGCATGCGGGGGGGGACCAAACTATCGAAGGTGGGGTGCGCCAAACTAAGTTTGGCCCCGAGGCCGAATGGACCCTTACGCCCGACTTGAAAAGATCCATGCGGGTGACGTGGAGCTTTTGCTTCGGAAGGATAATATCATCCCTCGTTTCAAAGGGAGCTATGTCCTTCCAGCATTGAAATTAACCATGATGGAAATCTCAAAGAATCGACAGCATGCAATATTTGACACATCTCCAAAGGTACAATACCCGATGCACTTGGCATCAGTTTTTACAATGGCTTCCAAGACATGAATGTTGAACAAGAACGCGCCCTGACTTTGCTTTCTCACTCAGCAACCAAGGGTAAACGCGAATTGCTGGGATTGCCGACATCCGGGCCTTCCTCATGCTGACAGCGGGCCTGCAGAACCTTTTCGTGGGGCGGAGAGTCCCCGTTTCTTCATGGAAAACAATTCCACAAGATCTGTCGGGATCAGCTCGAAGCAAGCTTGGCAATGCACTGTTTGGCACTTGCTCTCGCTGCCGCCTCATGGACAAAAGTTGAATCCTTGTTTCAAGGATAACGATTGAATCGATGCTTAACAGTTCTAAGTTCTTCAATGCGAGCGGTGTGATCGGCACAAACTCTGGAGCGACGTCTGTGCTGACCCAGTGCCTTGGGCCGTTTGTAGGCAGATTTGCTGTGGGGCTGCGAGTGGTCCCGTTGATAAGCCCAGTGCCTATGTGCCGTTGGGGGGGCGAGAGCAGTGAGCAGTCAATTTATTATCAAAGACAAGTGCCAGAGCCGGTCGGCCGTTGGAGCGAGATCAGTCTGTCCATTGGAAAGCTTGCAGGCACGTCGAGATGTTATTATCTTGTGGACTGAACCTGCCAGCCTGCGAATGCCATCGAGCCGCAATCGTCGGTTGGCTGATTACTGCAGTTTGCAGCAGCTCAAGCGCCCGGGGGCCGTTTCGATCGTCATGAGTTCCTCTACGCTCGATTCTGAGGCGGCCTTCCAAAGCTCGGGCTAAGGAGCTTGGCTTTAAGGACGACATCATCCACAAGCTGAAGGAGGGCAACATCTCGACTTTCGGAAGCTTGGCATTCGCTTCACCGTACCAGATTGGGCAGGTCGATAAAGCTGTGGATGCTCTGATGGCTACTCTGGGCCGAGGGCCTACCGGGCCTACCGTGCAAGGCTCCACCACAGTGGACATGGAAGAGAGTGCCGAGCCGAGCCGACAGTGTTGGGCCCACATACTCGTTTGGATCATGCTCGCTGAACTCCAAACCTTTTTCCAGGAAGGATCTTCTTCCATTCATTTCTCAGTTACCCTTGAACCAGGTCCGGTTGACTTCTATTCTCCCTTTGCCCAATTTCACCCGGCTTTTTTGCAGATACGTGCGTGAGACCCTGCCGGGATTCTCATTCGCAGCGCTGGTGGTTTTGCTCCAAATTTTCATCGTGCCCCCGCAGGAACGTCTTCGACTTAATTACCGGTGGCTTAAGCAAGGTGGCGAGGATCGGTTACAAGCTGCACAGCGCATCACAACTCTGGCGAAAGAGCTCGAATCGTCTGAGCGAGAATTCCAGGCAACTCTCGCAGGGCAAGCGAAGGAGGTGCTCCAGAGGAAGCGAATCCTCCTTTGGAGGAAGCTGCTTGATGAAACTGGATTCCCAGATTCGTTGGTGACATCTCTTATCGAGGGGGTGGACCTGGTCGGGAAACCTTCAAAGTCGCCTTTGTATGAAGGAAGTTCTTCCCACGAGCTCGCCCACCGAGTTGATGCAATCGGCCACCTGGAGAAGGAAATCTTTGATGCAGCGAGCGCTTCAGGCTCCCTTCAGGGCTCGAGTGATGACCAGCTGGACGATGAGTTGTGGACACCATGGCGAGGTATCTTGTGGCTTCTTGAAGGGACCCTTCGAGAACGAAGACGCTGTCAAGGCCTTCTTGGGGGTTGACGAATTCTGTGCGAGCCGCAGGTTCCCAGTGGTCCAGGGATCGCCGAAGAATCCGAAGTTCCCTCCCATCGACGACCTCAAGAAGAGTCAACAAGTTTCTCGGTCCAAGCGATTTTGCTGTGAGTACGGGTGGGGTAGCTGAAGCTTGCCGCAGCGCGCATGGTTTTCAGCTGCTGTATTCCCGCCGATTTTTCCCTTTTGCTGCATTCCATTTTACAGGGGAGGCCCGCTCAAGCGAAGCCAGAATTGCTGGACTTTTCAGCCCTACATTTGGAGTCGCGCAGCTTGCGATTTTCACCAACAGTGCAAAGCCTTTCGAACCGTCATTTGTGGGGTTGCGAGACAGAAACTGAAGCCTTCCAAAGTCCAAAGCCTCCCTCGTGGGGTTCCGAAGCCCTCCGAAGCCTCCCGACATCTGTGCTGCATGCATTCTCCCAGCAGCAGCTACAGGCGGCTACAATGGTCTCTGCCGTCTTGAGTTCCTCTGGTTCCTGAACCTTACAATCTTACCGTAGTCACTGCTCTTCTGGTCTTGTAGTTCCTGCAGCTTGCAGCTGTCCCCGCCATCTTGTGTTTCACGTTGGTACACTTCTCAGGGGCCACGCTCATCTTCTCTATATCGTTCCTCCACCTTCGGAAAGCAACACGGCAAACGAGAGTGCCTCAACTGTTGAAGCAGTGCGAGCTTCACGAGAACATGCGATTCATGCATGCTTTCACTGAAGAAGTGTTGACACCGTTTGGGACATGTCCCGGACTACAACGCTGCAACGCTAAAGGCAGCTCCGTGCACAAAAACCGTGCATGTTCATTTAAACTCTTAAGGCCTAAACGGGGTGTGGGACCCGGCCCTAGAAAAATGGGACCCGGGTGGACCCAGGTAAGACCCGGATGAAACCGGTGGGACCCGGTGACGGATGGGGCTGGCAAAATGTGGGACCCGTGACAACCAGATGAGACTTCTTGTGTGGGAAACACGGGACCCGGAGACACCCGGATAAGACCCAGCAAAAAACGGGATTCGTTGACGCAGAAGCGTTTCGTGCTCACCTTCGAAGGCTTCGAAGCCTTCAACTCAACTGCAAACCCAGGTTGAATCCAGATTCAAAACCACGTCGGTTCCAACCCAGCTTGAATCCGTGAACCTAGATTCAACGTTTCAACCTAGATCAGCAGCAGCGTGCTCGAAGATCGTCTGGCCTCAGACTCTGCAGGTTTACGCTTTCGCCTCCAGCACTATTGGACACTGCGCTTCTGACGATTTGGTGTCGGCGTCTCCTTTCGGTCGAACGTCACAGTTCCGTTTGCGTGAAATCGAAGCCAATATTGTGCTTTGGACGTTTGGAGCAGAAGGTTGAGGGTTTGGGCAGCTCAAAGGCGCCTTGTAGCTGGCTCAAAGGAACGCCAAACAGCCCAAGCGAACTTAGGTCATGCACTTCATGACCTAAAATTTCCTAGACCACTCTTTCAAAAATTTTGATACTGCCGTCAAGAGAAATATCAAAAACGCACAATAATGTCCCACCGACGGGGTCGATGCATATTCGATGTTTTATCAAATGCTTCCACACGCTCTCAACTCAGAAGATTGAAGCAAAAGGACATTCAACGACACAAAGTAGCAGGACACGACTCTCACTTTCCGGAGCACAAAACATGCCACATTTGGTTTAAGCAAGTTGATGGCGTCCAGAACTACATCCGCAGGGGGGAATGTCGGGAAAAGGTGGCGGCCTTGCTTCCTGCCCCGTGAGCTGTCGTGAGGCATGAGCATGTCACTTTCACTTATGGCGGCGGCGATTTTAGCTGGGTTGGCTCGGACATCTGGAGAAGGGATACCGTTCGATGTACGACGGCTACGACATTCAGGAACACTTGCAGTCTGGCTATCTGGCCCCAAACAAAACAAATCACCTTTTGGACCAGAACGTTTCTATATGCTTGGATGTCACCACATTGAAGGGCGAGCATAGGTTTTTGCAGTGTCCCGGACCCCTGGGTTCGAACACTTGGGAGGCTCGGGGGGTGGGGCGGAGAACATAACACTAGAACTTAGGGTTGAACCCCAAGTTCGAACACCTGGAACCGGAGTTGAACTTCGGGTTCGAACACAGTGTTCCAACTCCGTGGTGTTCGAACTCGGAGTTCAAACACTGGCGTTCGAGCCCGGTTCAGACACTGGTGTTCGAACACCAGTGTTCGAACCTCGAGTTCGAACACTGGTGTTCGATTTCCGGGTTCGAACACTGATCTATAAAACGCTTTTTTGAACACAGAAGAAGAGAAGCCACACGAAATCGCTTTATGGGGGCTTGCTGCAAAGAAAAAAAGAGAGAAGAAACATTCACCAGTGTTCGAATCTCGAGTTCAACTTGGTGTTCGAATCCGAAGCTCAAACACTAGTGTTCGACCCTAGATTGTAACATCAGTGTTCAAACCTCGAACACTGTTCGAACACTGGTCTATAAAACGCTCTCACAAACACAAAAAAGAAGAGAAGCCACACGAAATCGCTTTATGGGGCTTTTTGGAAAGAAACGAAAAAGAGAAGGAACATTCAGTGTTTAAACCCCAAGTTCGAAAACTGGTGTTCGAACCCGCAGTTCGAATACTGGTGTTTGAACCCCGAGTTCAAACACCAGTGTTCGAACCTCAGATTCGAACACCAGTATTCGAACTCCGGTTCGAACACCAGCCTCCAAGTGTTCGAACTGGAGCTGGAAGTTTCAATGTTCAACTTGGAGTTCAACTGACTTAGTGTTCGAACTAGAAGTTCGGAGACAAATATGGTGTTCGAACTCGAAGTTCAGGGCCTTGAACACGTGTTCGGGGCCCTAATTCGAAGTTCGGAACACTGTCCGAACTTGGGGTTCGAACACCCCCTCAAAAACCTATGTAGTTGAAGGGCGCAGAAATTGTGCGACGGGACTTCGCGCGCGTATCGAAATGATTCGCACACTGGGAGAGGGTGGCTGATAGCCTTCGTTATCCGCTTTTGGCTTCGGGCTGGTGACCAGTTTTCCAAGTCTTCGTCCCGGCTTTATTTCACCAGGCTACAGCTCTTCCAACCGCATGCAGTGCTGCTGAGCGGATGATGCACGCTGCCTCCAGAAGACTGCTCTTTTTTCCAACCCCGAAATGTCTTCGACCTCGATGTCTGTTTTCCCACCTCCTGACTCGAAAACAATTGCCTTGCTTAGACTCTTTGAACGCTTGCCTAGAAGTTCGCACCTGCAAGCACCCTCACCGTGGCTGCCTGTATGCCATATTGATATTTCTTTGCGTCCATGCTCGCTGAGCGTAGAGGGCTTCTGGGCGGGCAGTTTTACCGGCGCACTTTCTAGGGCTTCCACCCACTGAACAGCGAACTGATCCGGTCAGGTGCTCCTCTACCACAAGCTGACGTGCCTGTCGGGCGGCAGCCTTGACCTCTTCAAACGGGTCCGAGAGTTGCCTGTCGAGTTCTCTACGTCGTGTGATTGTGATTGCTGAAAACTTGTGCGACATAGAGTCGGCCACGAGGGTCTCCGTCCGACCATCGCGAAGGTCAAGTAGAGGAGAGGTTGAAGTCACATTCATGGGAGGTTCCGCGCAATTGTGTCTCGGGCATTTATCTGGAGGCGGCCAACCAGAGGGCGTGCGTTCTGTGAGTTGATAGTTCAGTTGCTGGAGGACAAATGGTTGCTGGCTCATCCACGCCGTCCTTGTTGCGCGAGGCACCAACCGACCAACCGCTCCAAAACGCAGTGCTCTGCCTCCCCCCGCTTTTTGTAAATTGCAAACTCCCCGCGCCTTGCAAAGGCGGACGCGAAAGTTGCCTTGACGAAGTAAAAGCGATGTTTCGCAGGGGGCGCTCTTAAAAGCTCAATAGGGGGAGCTGCGCCCCCCCCAACTCCCTCGCTTTTTGTAAATTGCAAACTCTCCGCGCCTTTGAAGCCAACAGCCTTCTTTCAACACAAAAGCAGATGCCACACAGAGTCTTCAAACTCGAAGAAACAATCGCTTTGGGGGCGGGGCTCAAACTTTTTTTGGCGTGGGCGGGCCTTGTCGACTACGGCTGCAACACTCGGTCCCTACAAACAAAAGCAATCCGACAAACGAACAAACAGCGGTAAAACAGGGCGGCTCGACGGGGCTCAAACGCGAATGAAACAGAATCGAATTCTTCAACTCCAAACCCAACCGTACAAAGCGAAAAGAAGCAAAAAGAACGTGAACGCCTTTGCGAAAGCAAATCCACCGGGATTCCACTCTGTTTTGGATTTTAAAAGTTTGAAGGAACGGCACGGTTTTTGTACGGAAAGGAGGAGGGCCTTTGAAGCCACCTTTTAACCAAGAAACTTCAACTCGAACCCCAAACCGCACAAGTGAACGCGAACAAAACAGAGAATCCATCCTTGCCCGACGTTGGGCTCTATTCAAGGATGCTCCCAGAAGAAGGTAGTTGTGATGTGATGATGAACGGCGTCGTCCACCGTAACGCGGCTTTGCAACGTGGAAAGCCTCCGCTGCGGACTGCAGTGGGACTGAGAAAACAGTCGAGCTGTCACCAGCCACATGCTTAGCTGCCGCTGGGGCGTCAGAGTGCCAGAACTCGGAAACATTGACGAGACCCACACGCGGATGAAGGTGGTGCGGGAGCTTTTGCCGTCCTGGCTGACCAATCCGTCGGGCCAAGGCTCACCTCGATGTGGCGCTTGTTTGCCCGGCACGTAAGCCGTCTTCTGAACTCCGATCTCCTTCTCCAGGTCCCACTGCCAAACGCAGACTGGATCACGATATGCTGGAGCCCACCATCGAAAATGCGGCAGGACTCTGCGTAGCCAAGCTCGAAGAACGAACAGCAGATGGCATCTGCCCCTTCAGCCTTCCCCGCCCTTTATTCACGGCCCCTCCCTTCATTTGCTCCTCTTCGAAGGCTTAAAAGTCCCTCATCTTCAAAGCCTTCACAGCTCCCTTCGAACGAAAGGCTTCGAAGCCCCTTTGTTTACTTAAACCTCTAAAGGGGTAGTACTTACAGCAATGTCTTGGTCGCATGCTCACATGTATACATTCCGCTGCTCGCTGGCTCAAGTGGTTTTACCGACTTGACAACAAGCTCTCTCTGCGTAGCAGAACAAAACAACTGCTGTCCGTGTGCTG